GTCATCTATTCTGTAAAAATTAAACACTTTCATTTAGAGCATGTTAGAATATATGTATTCTAATTATATGTATTAATTTAAAATGATAATTGAATGTCAGTTTAAAATGCCCTGTAGCTTACAAGCAACTTTTCCCAACCACCCTTTAATAACTGAATATTTAAAAGTAGACAAAAACAACTAAACGGACACTAAAGGAGATGTAGAGAAACAAAATATTGATTCTGTTACTCATTTTTCATTACTGGCATGAGCATTGCACTACTTGATTATCTAAGGATATCTATAAAGGGATTTGGTTCACCTTTTCTAACTAACTTGAATGAATCAGAAGTCTTGATTCTACATGACTGAAAATTGAATAGTATTCTTCTTAGACTAAGAAAATGTTTAACAGAGTCCATGCTGCAGAAAGTTAATTGTGTAGAAAAAAAAAAAAAAAACTGTCATACTAAAAGCTCTTGGAAATACTGAGTTAAGCTAAAGCACTTTTCTTCACAGTATTATTGCCTAGAGTTAACATCTGAATCTAACAACTACAGCAGTATCTGAGAAAGTAACTGTTGAACATATCAATGATGATACATTTTCTAAAAGCTCTGTAGGAGGATCAGATTTTCAACATTTTATTTTCTCTTATTTAGCTCTTTAATAATGTTTCAGGAATGAAAAATATCTAATAAGCTTATGTACAAAACACATTTGTAATGTAGTGCCATATGTATACCAGTTCTATTCACAAATTGCATACTGAAGTTTGCCATTAATAGCAGTCATAACTGTGATGATAGTATGAACCACTCGTTCAGTCAGCAACACAACTCTTCTAGAAGCTACACCTCAGAATTGCTTAATTTTCATACCAAGACATCAGTGTATCCATTCTATAAACAGCAGAGAAATAGATACTGGCTTGTAACAATTTTTAACAATATTCCCTGAGAAATTCAAAAGCAACTGAAATGTAGAAACACTTGTTGTTTGGTGGCATTTAAACTGGGGTTAGTTAAATCAATGGTGAAAATGAAAGCTTTGATGGAAAAATCAGGTGAATAATCAGGTCTTTCTAAAAGGGAGTAATAAACATATGGAAGACATTATGAGGAAAGGCACATTAGCTGAAAGTCTACTAAGTTTAAGGTGGAAGAGAAGACTTGTTCAGGAGAAAACAAAATATTGCTAGTTTATGTGCTACCAATTAACATGGCAATGCTAATTGTGGTATTGAATCTAACTTTTTGTTTCATTTTATTTCTAACCAATTATGAAGACTCAAAACATTTGAGTGTAGAGACTATGTGGCTGATATTTTTATTGACTGGTACTTGCTTAGGTATTTGGGAATATACAGGAGGGTGAAGCTCCCTTTTTACAGGAAATTAAAACAAGCACACTTTATTTTTCATATTGATTTTTTTTTTTTTGTGGTGGTAATGTTACAGGGTAGCCCAGAGTGGACAGGGCCACCTATCTGTGGGGCCTCACCTGCACCTCACCTGCACGCTCAAAATTCAGTTATACTGCAGACACACACAAAAGGGTCAATAACGGGTTTATTTACAAAAGGGGAAAGGAATAGGAAACAACCCAGGGAAAGAGAGCAGGATACAAAGTAACTGGAATACCTCACAGCTAGACTGACTGAACACACCAAATCACACCGTCAGGAGAGCTGCTTTCCAGGTGAGAGAGCGAGAGATGCAATCGAGCCCTATTTATCCTCCAGATGTCTCAGAATTCCTGCTAGCTCTGCCCTTGGGTCTTAGAAGTTCTCTCCCTACTGGGAGTTGTAGTTTCCAATCACTGAAGTAGAGGTTAGGGTCCAGAAAGCTGGAGTAGCGGGGGGAAGTCCATAAGACTCTGCAGAGTTCCTTTAGGACATCCTTCCCCTTAACATCAACAGTGGTTTACAGCACTATAATTCAGAGGTACAAGTCTTAGTCTTCTTAAGATGTTGGTCACTGACAACAGCAAAGCACCCATAATCCTCTAGCCTGACCTACTAGGAAGCCCCCTCGTCTCTGGTTTATTATTAAAATGTTGAGAGTTTCATCACTTAAATCTATACTTGATAATTATGAATTACTGACTTTAGTCATAAGTCATGTGTTTAAGCTCAAAATACAATGAAACCTGGGGATCCAAGAAAGATCCTTCCACTGTACTGTTAGTGTGGGCTTTCTAGGCAGAGGGGGATGTTCCATTTATAACTCATTTGTTTCCTACCATTGTGGCCAAGTTTCCACTTATTATATGTCTCCTTGCCGTAATATTAATTTCCAGTTTGGAGCACTGTAAACCCTCTCAACCTCTAAATTAAAGCAAATGGTATCCATGCCACCAATTTTAATAGAAACCACTTCAAAGATTCCTTTTTGAAAAATGAAGTATCACCACTGCTTCCTGAATCCAAGGTTAGCCCTTTCATAATCAAGTGGGACCTTCTCTGATTTCCCTTTTACTTAAACACTGGCAGATTTGCCAAGACATTTTTTCCCCCTTTACTAAAGGTAAATCTACTCTTTTGTTGTGACTACTGGTATTGCAGAGGGGGTGATAAAAGCAGCCTTATTGGGGGCTGCTTGGGGTGAGGTGTGTGTGTCTTGCTATGCCAGTGCTACATTCAGCTTCCTTGATGAATATAAACCCCAAAAGTTTTAATGCTGACCTCAGCTACACATTTTTAGAGAAAGCAGTAGAATATATTTTTTCTTATGTTGTCTCAAATAGTTTATCAAACTATATGAAAGGTGAAGGCTGTAAAGACAAAAAACTCTACACGTCCAACTTCAGCTTCCTTAGCAATCTACTTTTTGACCATTTTCTCAATCATTCCTTATACTAACCTCACAGGCTTCATGTCATGTTGCTTATTATATAAGCCACTGTTACCCTCTTTTCCACCTACTTAACTCTGTGACTTTAAGTTGAGCTCCAGGGCAATATAATATGAAGTTGGAAGTACATTATTGTTTTTCCAGGTTCCCTGCTTTCCTTCTACCCTCCCACCTCCCATACAGGGAGCAAGCTCGTGCATGTAGTAGCAATATAGTAGAAAACACAGTTATGGTTACTTGTAGTCTCACTTCCTAGTCACTACAAAAGGCAGTGCTGAAGAACAGAATAGCCGACTCACACTGAGAATTCAGTTTGAATTGAAGATGTGCTTGCTCAAAATAATTTACCTACTTGGCAAATGAATCTTAACTCTAAACCCAAACGAGGGTCAATGAAAGGTTACAAAATGTGAAGGGAGTCTATATTTCTCCACGATCTACTACCAAGAATATGTTCCCCATCTCTTTATGAGGTAAAAGTTTTGCTGATTCACCATTTGGCTGAGATTGTGGTATTTTGGGGAATAGGAATCTTACACGGGTTCTCATCCAAATCTCCCATTTTGCTCGGCTTCAGATTGTTTCCTACCCCCAGTATGGCTGTGACTGGGGGGCACATACTCCAGGATTTCAGTCCTCAACTCTTCTGTAAAGAGACTATGCAATTTAACTAATTCAGCAAATGTTATACGCTTTACTTTCTCCTCCTCTGAACAGTTCCTACAACACGATCCTCCCCACTCCCAAGGCCTTTTGCCCCAAATGGTGTTTCATCTACTTGAACTGTTTATTTTTATTCCATAAGAATTCCATATCTTTAATATTTTCACGACTGCATACACATATCTATTGTGCATGTATTTCTGTCACAACATTTAAAATCAGATGTAAACATTATTTTTTTCAGATAGGCCTTCCTTAACCCTAAAGTCACAATAGGGAATAAACAATCTTTGCACTTGAGTGTTTTTTAAAAGCCAGGTAGAGACCAGAAGCAAAAGTATGGGTTCCTAGGTATTGCTTCTTAACCAAAAGAACTAAACTATCATTCAGTATATAGGCTACACTAATAAAATACAACTCAAATTATTACCATATCAAGGAGAAATGGAGGGAGTTAGAGTGGAGGGAGGGAGAGAGAAGGGGGAAGATGCTCTTTCAGGAACTTGCTGGTCAGGAACACATAATAAGTTACAGTTGTAGCTGAATACAAAATCCTGAAGGGATGCCTAGCTCTCTATTGTTTTAGAAACTAGAATACCTAGGGAAGGGGAATTGTAAAAATTCCCACGCCCAAAAGTCCATGGGATATAATTTTCTCTTGTCTCTAATTCAATACAATGTTCCTTGACTGCTTCCAGGGGATAAATGAGGATCTATGCACATATGTTACAAAGTCAAAGTAAACCCTTGAGGGGCTTGACCTTCACATTGTTTTTTAACATTTGCCAAGCAATCAAATACTTTAAGACTGTGACATTAAGCTTTACATATTGATTTTCAGCATCACTAAAAACTTTCATAGTCTTATCTTTCGTTGTCAAAATATTGAGTTCTAAAAATATTGGATGAATCTATTTTTAGCTGAGTTTAAGACACTGACATAAATCTAAAATAATAGCCTTACATATATTTCAAATACATGCATTCAAAATAAGTTATTAAAATTGAGTCAGTAGCTGTTAACACTCTCTTTAGATCACTTCATTCTGATCATCAAACAATATACTTCATAAAAAACAGGGTCTTTCACAGGTATGCTTGGAGGAAAACCTCTTAAACATCCTATATTTCACGTCACATCTTCCCATCATCGAGCAGAAAATTATCAAAAATGCATTAATTACATGATTACAACATTATAGTCTACTCTCAGTGTTTTTTAACTCCTCAAAATGCCATAACATTTGAGTCCATTAAATTCTATGCTTGAGAGCACATGGGAGTTGAAAAAACAGACAGCACTCAAAAAACGATCAGTATTTTCAAAAGAACTAAGTAAGAGAGTTTATCAAGACAAATTAACATTAATAAGGGACCTAACTTTCCTAAAAATATGCACCATTTACAAATGTTTCCTGAGTGTCACGAGGCAGGCACTAAAGCTTTTACCGTACTTAGATTATAAATAAGGGTATTACTACCCACAACAATACAGAATACCTGAAGGGCCGTTAGGATATTTGCTAAGGCTTGTCCATATGTGTCATGACAGTGAACAGCAAGAGCACTTGGTGGGATTTCTTTCATGACACTCTCCAACATTGTTTTCATGCTTCCAGGAGTCCCCACTCCAATTGTGTCTCCCAGGGAAATCTCATAACAGCCCATGCCATATAATCTCTTAGACACCTGTTGGAAAAGGTGAAATGCTAGTGAAACAAAGGAAAGGAAGCGACAAACTCTTTTGTAAAGGCAAAAAAAAACAAAACAAAAACAAAGCAAACCACATGGTTATACAAACATAATAGTCACATAGTTGAGTGTGGGTTTTTTTGGTCATTTTCCCTGCTCATGCAATCCTAACCATTATATAAACGTTGACTCATGGTACTATAATTAATACTTTCCAGTATTCAAATTTGCCTTAGAGTCATCTATTAATCTGCTTGTTGATGAAATAATATGGACAATTTTAATTATGAGAGACTCCCTTTTTTTTTCTCATTTAATCAAACAGAAATATTACACTTTTATTTTGGAAGTAGTATTTCTTAAAGCGTTGATTAGGGATTAACAGGGTATCAGTTCTGTCACTAAGTAGTTTTGTAATTCCTAGAGCCTATTAATATTTTTGGCTTAATTTTTTTCTGACACAAAGTAGATATTTATGAGATAACTTGCAAGGTATGGTGAGGTAAATTGTAAGGTCCCTTAAGCTGAATAGTTAGTGTAATTTTCATAAAAGCAATGTAATGTTGACAAAGATGTGGATTCTAGAATCAGACAAATGTGACTTTACATCATCAAAAGCCACTCATGAAAATTAAATGAGAATGTATGAAGAAATACTTTATACAAAACTTGACACATGGTCACTCATCAATTCATTCATTATGTATTTCTTCAGTACCCATTTTATGCCAGGTACTATGCTGAGAATATAAATATTGAGACAGGTTATCTGTTTATGAAGCCCAAAGTCTAGTGAGGACAGACATTAACCAATTCTAATCTAATTTGTGTAAATGGAAGTTATAAGAATTCTAGAACAAAGACACAGGGTTTTAAGAGCATGTAGTAAAGGAATGGACTTAAATCTGTCAAACAGAAAAGGATCAAGTGACAGCTTCAGATAAAGTATGCATTGGCTTGTTGAAAGGTATAATATGGAAGGGTACAGACATATTCTAAGAGGAATGTCAAATGCAAAAGTCACTATATTCCATGCAGATGAAATATAAAACTCAGAGTATTCCGGAGAAAAGTCAAATGCAAAGGGCTATGTGATTTAAAGGCAAAACCAATGAGGAATGAAACCATCTAGAGCTGGAGGGGCAGGCTTGGGGAAGACCATAGGAGTCTTGCACACCAAGTAAGTTTATCATTTTGGTAGGGATTTATCATTAAAAGCAGTAGAAAGTCATGATACAATATGGAGTGATATAATCAACTTAGATTTTAATTGTAATAACAATATCTTGAGGGTTCTTAGAAAGGGCTGCCTAGTTCCAATAGGAAACTATTATTAGATGGAAACTGGATAATGAAAGTTTCCACATCTGAGAGTCTGTTATTAATATATATTCACAATGCACATTCTTTTCTTAAGGAACTCTTCCAAAATGGCATAACTTCAGGCTCCATAAAATCTGGATCTACTACTGCCTATTTACTAAAACGCCTTTACTTGTTTGCCTTCTACTTTCTCTAGACAGACCATACTCAAGCTCTGCTCCTGCCTAAAGAGTTGCTGAGTGGAAGCATGAAACAGGCAGAAAGCATGTAGCCAAGGAATTTGACTTAAGACTGTCAAAACAGAAAGATCAAGTAACAGCTTCAGATACAATAAGTAATATCTTGTTGAAAGATATGAGATGGAACAGTATATGTATGCATGCTTCTGCACTGTGCATTGCATATTAATGTAGATCCCTAATTGGCAGGTAGCAGAGAATGAGGCTTCAAAGAAGAGACTGAACCAGCTAGAGGAAATCAGAAGTGTTGTATCAAGTGGTAAAAATAAAGGTTCAGGAAGGAGGGAATTGTCACCAGTCCCAAATTTTGCTGCAAAGTCAGGAAAACTTAGTATGATCTTGCATTTCTATATACAAGGCTAAGTAGTGATTTTATAAAGAATAATTTCAGTAGGCTCACTAGTTGAGAGGTCATGCAAAGTATGACAAGGAACTGGTTTTATATGAGGAAATGGAAACTTCTGTATTCAGTCCTTTGAAGAAGTTGTACAAGGATGGAGATGGTCAATAAACAGAAAGGGAAGCTGAAATAAGAAAGTTTAGGGCCCTCCCTTGTGGTGCAAGGAGTTAAAGCACAGCACAATATAGCAAGCGAGTCCCAGCTACTTCAGTTTGATCCCCAGCCCCAGGGGTGACCCACATGGCGTGGCAGACCTCTCCTGACCTGCCCACTGCTCCCTTCAGCAGTGTACTTCGTCAGTCGGCCTGTTCTACTCCCCACTCTGTCTCTGGTGAATCCTCTCACTACCCCTACATCGCTGGTCTGTACCCAGTTCTGTATGCATAAATAAGTCTTTAATAATAATGATAATGATAATAATAATAAAAATAAAAGGCGTTTGCAGGTGGAAAAGGCTTGAATCTGGTCAAGAATCAATGGTGTGTGTATATAGAAGAAAATGATGAAGGACTAGAGAATTGAACACAGTCAAGAGTTTGAAATAGTCATTTCAGAGGGTAACATCATGAGTTGACCACATGATGTATTAGAATAGTACAGAAGATTGTTGGTGTGAATTTCTAATCTGCCTGTTTCATGTTTCTGCTAAGCAACTCTTTGGGCAGGAGCAGAGCTGGAGTATGGTCTGTCTAGAGAAAGTAGAAGGCAAACAAGTAAAGGCACTTTAGTAAATAGGCAGTAGTAGATCCAGGCTCTATGGAGCTTGAAGTTATGCCATTTTGGAAGAGTCCCCTAAGGAAAGAATGTGCACTATGAATATGTATTAATAACAGTCTCAGATGTGGCTTATGTGAGTGAATGATTAGAAAATTTAATCTTCATTATTTTATAGTATATTTACCTCTGTGTGTAAAGATCTTGCTTAGACTATAGAATAGTTCATTTGAAATATCTGAAGTAATTTTAAAAGCTGAAAAGTTAGTAACTGATTAACAGTGAAGTGTTTCAATACTATATTACTAAGTTTACCAAAATTAGCCAACTTACAACAGATGGGCATTATATACTTCGTATACAAATGCGTTTCTGAGCTAGTGTAATATAATTTCGAAGACATCATTTGTATTTGTAAGTAGTAAACAAAGTGGAAGGAGAAAACAAACTTGAGTAAACAATTCTAAATAACTGAACAGATATGCGACACACAAGGATGATGTGATGGTCTGAGAAATGTATCCTGCGGTGCAGTCTTCTTCACTGTGCAATCATTAGACACTCATTCCACAACTTTAGGTGGTTCAGCCTACTACACACTTAGGCTTTATAGTGTATGGTTTAGCTCTACTGGCATCTACGGTCACATATGGAATTTGTCTCTGAAACAGTAAGCTGGGGATGACTGACTGTAATCTGTTGCTGTAGAATCTGCTTAGAATCTAGCAGTAGTAAATCTCTGCTCAGGGGAGCAAAAAAAAAAAAAAGAATGTTACGCAACTGAGGCAATGGTTACATGCACAATCTGCCCGACATTCTGATAGAAAGTAGTTCTAGCCACAGAGAACTTCTAGTTCTTTGGTATCATGTACAGCTGCTTCGGTTGCCTTCAGGTTGGAACACCCAAATGAGATACAAATCTTATTTAACTTTGAAGGTTATAGCCAATCTGTAGTGTCTGCACGATTAAAATAAACCTATTAAATAACAAAAACCTGTCTATAGGGATAGATACAAAGAGTTTCCTATTGTGATGATGCAGTAGAGAGTAAGGAAAATATACTACTAGTAGTCTCAGATAGCATACATCATTTTGCCATGAACCAGAAAAGTGAGTTGTATCTTACTTCTGTCACTTTTTGTGGTGTGATGCTTCCTTCATACGGACAGCCCAGGGCACAAGACACATACCTAAGTGCAAAATACAGATTCATATAAATATGTGAATGATAGATGAGCCATTTTCAAAAATCCACCAAAGAAAGTTTATTGTAGACCTTTATTCTAAGATCAAGCAAAAGCAATTTTGGAGCACTTTAAGGTTAAATGAAATTTTTATCTTTCTAAGTACATTTTAATATATTATTTTTGATACTAGATATGGATAAGAGCACATGAATTTCATATATGGCAGTTTATATGTGTAGAAGCAATTGAAATTCCAAAACATATCAATGAACTACATATTTTATTTACATGAGTAAATGTATTCAACTACTAAACTTCTAGGTCTTTGGTATCATGTATAGAGAAAATATGCAGATATCCAAGTGAATTTCTTTCTTCATCCCATCTGGATGTTTTGGCCTTATTTAAATAGAATCATTAATCACCCCAAAACTCCTACAACAGTATATAACCTTAAAGTTCATCTTGTTTATCTCTCATGGGTTTACCTAAATCATTCCAAACCACGAATAGTGTCTAGTCTTTTTAAAAGGCTCCAAATAAAGATATTCCACAAGGGTCTTCTATTTAATATAAAAAGTAATTTTTTCCCTGCGAGGACAATGATAAATTTTTATCTTAAACAATTACGTTTTAGGAAAGTCTGTTTTAGCTATTTTAAGTTCAGTGCCCACTCCATTTTATTAAACTTTCCTCAGAGATTTTATGACATTTGCATTAAAATAATGCATCATGTATCTGGTTATCAAGAATTTAGCAATTCTCATGAGAAGAAAAGGGACAGTGGGTATCTTTATTTGGGCCAGAATATGAAAGGTAGTCAATGTGAGCAAACCCATGAGAGAAGACAATAATGTATTTCTTCATTCTAGTACACTGAATTTCCTAACAGGTTTAGAGTAAAACAAAACAAAAACTGTGTACCTTTAATGATTCAGTATTAAATTGAAAGATGTAGCCTCTTTTTAGAAGCATGAAGGTGAATCTAAGTTATGTCTTGATATAATAATAAATGAGCAGTTACACAAGAACAGGGGAAGGAGGACAAATTCATGTAAAATTTTACATCTCTCTGTTCTTCCTACTATAATAATATGAGACTGAACTATGTGAACTCAACACTGGAGAAAGTAGATGGGCATGAAACAGGGTCCCTAATCTATCCTGAACCCCAAAATATACATTTAATTAAAGAGACATCTCAAACCACCTACTTAAATGTGAAAAGCAAAATAAGCAAAAATAAAATTAAGAACAAGTAAATAAACCTCTGTTATATTTTTATTCTCTGTCCACAACTATACACTTATGACAATACTCTGTGCTTGTATTTTCACTGACACAAGTTTTGACTTTGATTCCTTCCTAAGTCTATAGTTTGCTTCATACTCCATTGCACTTAATCTTCTGCAACTCCTTTCATCATTGTGACTGGTTTCTTCAAACTATTACTATTCACACAGGTGGCTCCTTTCCTTCAAAGCATATGTGTTGAATCTCAACTATGCTCTTCACCTGTACTTGACACTCTAAAGCACAGGTTGGTAGACCAAGCTCCACAAATCAAATGCTGTTCAGCATTCTTTTGTAAACAAACCCTTGCTGGAATACAGCCAGACCACTGTTTACCTGTTATCCATGGCTGGTGACATATTCTAACTGTAGCAATGAGTAGTTGCAATACAGACAACCTGAGCCACAAAACCTTAAGTATTTGGCCCTTTACAGAAAAGGTTTACTAAACCTTGGTAAAAAGGGAGAACATATTTTATCATCATCAAAATGAGTTAAAGTTTCTGTTTTGAAACATTAATAAAGTCAGTTTTTGGACATGAGTGTTTGTCTAATAAACTATTTGAATGGTTCTCAATCGTGGCTATACAGAAACACCAAGGAGCTTACCCAAAACAAAACCCTGATGGTTAAGAATATTACAAACCAGGCCCTCCCTGGTGGCGCAGCGGGTTAAAGCACAGCACTAAGAAGCTAAAGCTGCTTCCGCATGAGTTCTATTCCCGCCTGCCCCGGAGGTGACCATATGGTATGGCAGACCTCTCCTGACCCGCCCGCTGCTCCCCTCAGCAGTGTACTTCGTCCATCTGCCTGTACTGCTCCCCACACTGTCTGGTGAAGCCTCTCGCCGCCCCTGAGCCTCTGGCCTGTACCCCAGTTCTGTATGCACAAATAAATAAATCTTTAAAAAAAAAAAAAAAGAATATTACAAACCAATTAAATCAGAAACTCTGAAAATAGAATTTAAAATAACTTTACAAGTTCCATCCTGACCAAAAAAAAAGCACTCAACTATTAGCAGTACTTGCCTTTGAGTTTCTGATTGATCTCCTTATCTAAAACAAGATATCTTTTTATCATTTTGCTACAGCATTTTCATTCATTTTTCATTAGTTGGTGATTAAATTCCTCACAGACCCACACAGTTTCTCCTTTGAGAAACCAAACTTTAACCTCTTCATGTCTCATTTCATTTTTCTTACTTTTGTTTCAATATTCTTTTGGCTGAATTATTTTCTTTCATATTCCTTTCAGCAAAGGTAGAATGTGACTGTGTCCACAAATGGTTTTATTTCACTTTTCCTACTGTGTAATAGTTGGCTAGGTATAGAATTCTAGGTCAGTATTTGAACACATTTCTTTTCAGCTAGTCCTGCTTCCTTCTCTGCTAAAGTTCTCCTGATTTTATCAGGGTACCTTTTCCTAGGGTACTTTTTTACCTTTTGTGGGTTGTAACTGTTACTATAGATGCCTTAAAAAAAAAAGATTTATGCATACAGAACTGGGGTACAGGCCAGTGCTGCAGGGCTGCAAGAAGATTCCACCAGAGATAGAGTGGGGAGTAGAACAGGCCGACTGACAAAGTACACTGCTGAGGGGAGCAGCGGGCAGGTCAGGAGAGGTCTGCCACGCCATGTGGTCCACATACAGGTAGGGATCCAACTCATGCTGAAGTGACTTTATCTTCTTAATGCTGTGCTTTAACCCACTGTGCCACCAGGAAGGGGTCCATAGGTGCCTTTTTATTGTGATTTTTGTTTCTGTACAAGTTTTTTGCCCTGAGTTACTTAAATGTATCTATAAAGAGTATCTGACTTCCCTTATCTCTCATTTTGTATATTTTACTATTTCTTGGAGTGAATTTTTATCTTAATTTTTAAATTTAGGTTTCTAATATACTCATGTTTCATAACTCTACAACACATAACTATCACTGGCATGGTTCCAGTTACTTTACATTACTGCGTTCTAGTCTCAGTTATAAATTCATATTGTAGGAGAACATCTATGTTTTCCCATAGGAATGAAAAATTGATTTTCAAGTTACTGGGGATTATATCACAGATAGGTACCCCTATGTGTCACTGTGCATGCTTACATTTTTTTAAATGAAATATGGGGACTTTCTTTTTTTAGTTTGTCTATATATTTTAAGTTATTGAGCGATTGTAAAGGAAACATAAAAGGAAATCTGTGGAAGCTCTGTCCTCAATAGCCTCTTTCAACCTTATGCAGATAGTTCTAGAACAACTCCAAAGCTCTCTGTGCACATTATAAATTATTTGATACACTTACATGAAGAATATACATGGCATATTAAACTTAAGATATCCCAAATGGTCTTACTCCATCCTTGCATTAACCAGTTTCCTACATCTGTCAAACAAACCAAACCAAACCAAAACTGGTCTATTAACTCTTACATGTCTGGTCTACTAAGTTACCTGATGGCTACCTTGAGAACAAATCCAATAACTACAGTTGACTGAGTCTTTTACTCCACCATAAAGTTCTGTCTCTGCCAGAACAGGCTTGAGTGTGCAGCGCTGTTCTTGACTGCCCCCTATAGGGCAGTTTCAACTACCTCCTAAGTGCGCTCCTTGCCGCTAGGCTCATGACCCTCATTTATACTCCAGTTTATTGCCCAAACAACATTCCTAGACATAAGTTTGATTCACCTTGAAAATCTTTAATGGTTTGCCATTATCTACCAAATAAACTCGGTTTATTTGGTTCAACAGCCTATGAAGCTTCACTCTAACTTTTACCTTTCTTTTATTACAGTCTCAAAACCTTCTATTCCACTAAAGGGCTTCTCTTCCATGACCAAACGTTTCTTGAGATTTCTCTTCATTTTGCTTTTCCTTTCTGTACATTCCTCCCGTAACAGCAAAGGCAATTATTTCTAATTATATTGCCATATATTTACCTATCTTTAATGACTTGTACTAAAAGTGCATATCTGGACCCTCCCTTGTGGCGCAGCGGGTTAAAGCACAACACTGAGAATCTAAAGCCACTTCCGCACAAGTTCGATCCCCGCCTGCCCCGGAGGTGACCACATGGCGTGGCAGACCTCTCCTGGCCCGCCTGCTGCTCCCCTCAGCAGTGTACTTCGTCGATCTGCCTGTTCTGTTCCCCGCTCTGCCTCTGGTGAAGCCTCTCGTCGCCCCTAAGCCTCTGGCCTGTACCCCAGTTCTGTATACACAAATTAATAAATCTTAAAAAAAAAAAAAAGTGCATATCTTTATAGGGCTTTTTTCCATGAAGTTTCCCTAAAGAAACATACTAAATCCATTTGGGGGTACTTAAACTTTAATGCTAACTTGTGATAAATTCCATTATTTAAAACATGCAGTAATTTTTTAATGAACTAGTGCATAAATGGTAGTTAATATAATTTTCACATGCAAAATGACTATATGAAATTCCTAATCATTATAATGTACATATAGCTAAATATGGGATGTTTTTATTCTAAGTAATGCAGTCAAAAATGATAGGAGAATTTTGGGAACTTAGATTATGCCAGAGTAATAGTAAAACCACTCTGAACAGGTTGAGGCTATTAAACGATATCATATGTAAACATGGTAAACCTAAAAATGAAGCTTTCACATCTTCAACAAATTATAGAACTGATTCATAAAAAAAGAACAATTATCACATGTCTTTCCAATATTTTTGCCAAAAAGTAATAGAAGAATAGA